AATAAGAACTGGGATGAGAGAGAGATATAATATCAGATAGAAGTATCAAATCATATTAGAGAGAGGTCAGAGAGAAGGAGATACAACAAAAGCGTGATAGGAATTGACAACAATGATGCTGAGATGATCTCTTATCTACTTAAGGGGAAAAAGACAAAAAAATAAAATTGATATGATCAGGTGGAAGCTTTATTAATATATTTTAATTTTTTTAAAAAATAAATAAAAATTACGAAAGTGTCATTTGACCGTGTCGGACACGGTTAAATTCGCGTGTCGGAATGGTCAACGTGTCGGAAAAAGTTGACCGCGTGTCCGACACTGGGTCGCAGCGTGTCGGACACGACTCTCCCTGTTTTTACAAGTGTCCGTGCTTCCTTGGATATAAGTGGGATCAACGATCAAGATTGAGAGTGTAACTTACACTTGTGTACAGTGATCCTAACCTATATATATATATATATATATATATATATATATATATATATATATATATATATGAGTTTGATGTTTATCATTTTAAATGACATAAGTTATGTCATTTTAGGAGAGAGGTAGACACAGAAAAATAGAAATCATGGAAGAGAGAAAGTGGGTGATTTTTTTAATTTAAAATTTAAATAATTTTTTTTCTGTGTGTCTGTCTCTCTATCTTAAAAGGACAGAGTGTTATATCATTTAAAATGACAAACACTTTTCCCTATATATATATATATATATATATATATATATATATATATATAAATATACGAATACGATTTTAAGAGTGTCAAGTCACGTGATATAAGTTTTTGTTCAGTCACTAAATTATAACCGTACAAAAGTTGATGATAAAGAAAAAGAGAGAAAAATGAAATCATAACCATACAAAAATAATCAATTAATATAAAAAAATAAATAAATAAAACAACGTAATTTAATCATGACCGAACAATCTAGTGACATAGCAAATAATAATCTCATATATATAATTCGTCTGTCTAAATATATTATAGGGAAAAAAATTCTGTACTAATTATTTTTTATGAAATTCCATATATTCAACAAATAGACCTTTTTGTAAGTCTGACTCGCAAAATTTATCAAATTTAATTAACAATACCACGTTTTCAACCAAAAAATAAAATAAAAACTAACAATACCACAAGCTAGTGTTAATTTTGGGAGTGGATCCTCTCATGTACTAATTAACATGATCATGTTAAGTGGGGCAATCATAACCATACATGAGTGAGTTAATGATGATAAGGAAGGAGATAGAAAAATATAGAGATAGGAAGTTATACAATTATCACCGTTGATTTAATTATTAATGGTTAAGATCCTCTCACATGACATATGATCATGTTAAATTACACAAGAGAGGATCTATTTCGATTAATTTCATACCTCATACAAAGAAAAAAAAAAAAAAACTACTTCGCCACATAGCATATCACTGCCATTTCAAAATTACTTTTTCCCGAGAATAATCACATCACATCATGTTAATGGTGGGCTTATTCCAAAACAAAGAAAAATCCGACTCACTATTGATTTCTTGAACTGGATTTACAACGACAGAGTTCCAATTATTGCACCATTTTTGTGAAGAAATATGGGTAGACGTTGCCTCACAGATTGGATTTTGCCCATTCAATAACCAAGTTCCAAATTTCAAGCCGAAAGGATTATAGTTTAAGGGTTTTATATTTATCAGTGTTTTAAAACCCGGCTCGGACCGGCCGGGTCGACCAGGGACTCGGTGACCCGGTGGGTTCCCCGGTCCGAGCGGGTAGTTTGATCGGTTATGCAGTCAGCCCGGATTGGACCGGTTGACCCGGCCGAGACCCGGTGACCCGGTTGACTCGGGTTAAACCGGTTTTTCCTTTTTTTTTTTTTTTTGGTAAATTTTTTTTATGTTGATAAGAACTCTTGAATTAAATCATATTCATATTTTATGATGAATATGATTAAAAGTAAGGTGAAAATAATAAGGTATTTTAGATTAGTGTAGTTCGTTTATGTAATTTAGTTGCATCTTATAATGATCTCATGAAGTTAAGTGGTGATAAACACTGATGGTCTCATGATCTCATCTCAACGGTGGACACTTTTTTCTTATAGTGTATATTTCATGCATACTATTTGTTATCATGATTTAATTTATCCGTATCATGTCAAGCACAAAAAGTGCATTTAACTTATATTGCATGGTTTAATCCAATATTAGGATACGGTCTAGAGCTAGAAGCTTAGAAGTATATAATATTTGCTATCATTGAAAACCAATTTATTTCTTGAAGCTCATTGATAGTTTTCTTATATGAATTTTTATTAATATAAGTAATATTTTTATATTTTTAATATGTGAACAGTAAAACCGGTTGAACCCGGTTGAACCAGTGACCCAGTACCTCGGCCGGTTCGATGACCGGTCCGAGTTTTAAAACACTGATATTTATCATGTAACATGATATAACATCACTTTCTTACACACACATTAAAGAGGTGGAGTCCACATGTTTTTCTTTCTCTTTCATCATTCCACTTTCTCTCTCCATTTTTGTGTGTGTTGGAAACAACAATTAAATCATGTAACATAACACTAATAAAACCCATAGTTTAATGATATTTCACTTTATTACGAAGATTATGATGTTGGGTTTGGTTTCCCGTGAGCCTAAATGCTTACGCTTAATAATCAAAATAATTTTCCCAACTTCAATTTTTTTTTTTTTTTTTTACCTATTTTATCCTATTTGTGTTGGAAGAGTTGGTGCCAAGTAGTTCATAACCACATTGACTACAAATATTGATCAAACAGAAATTATTCACTCACAAATTGACACCTGCTTTGCCTGACATAATTGGTTAGGGCTTATCCACGGCTATTTAGTAGAAGAGTCTCAATCCATTTGGGTCCATTTATCTTTCACTTGGAAGTGTCAGAATGCAACACCCTTACAAAGTGACAACAGAGGTGACACAGAACCTTCTCCACTACTTTTGGAACGCACAAAGAGGTGAATGACACATGTTGCGGGAATGAAGATGAAGCTCAAAGGGCTATTGGATTCTTAGCTGTCTACTGAGGTTAGGGATCATTCACTTGTTTTCCAAATTTCACACTTAAGAAACAAAGTGCACGAATTTGATATGTGATATAAAGTGAAATATTCTGCCCGAGTGAGACTGAAAGGTGCATTTCAAAGAAATAACTGGAATATAGGGTGTGTACAAATCAAAAGTTAATGTTCTTTCATTGCGGTACAATCCAATCATATCACAAAGCAAACTGCCAAAGTTTAATCTTGTTGAAAGTAAGAAAGAGAAATGAGAAATTCTTTATTCCCTGATCATAATAGGCCAAGGGATGTTTTGATCTAGCAGTGTAGTAATGTTTGAAGTCAAGGCTAAGAAAGGAAGCTTATATTATCAATGACAACAAATAAATACATTATACTCCGGTACTTCATTAAATATTTTTTTATCCTTGATGAAAGTGTGATTAATCCTAACTCCTAAGTAGTAACGCCTGCCAAAATAATTCCCGGCAAGTTTTTCCTTCCTTACTTTGTAAATAAAAAATTCGACATACTTTTAACATGAAATTTTTACCGGGAAACCAATTGGCATATTCACTTCCATGCTTGAAGTCCCTTTTATCAACTCCATGGTCAGATTTTGTATATTTGTTCTTTGTATGCACATCAATTAATAACTAATACCAGTACAAAAATAACTATTTCTTAACAATACAAATTAAAAAAAAAAAAAACTACAAGGTGGTCAACTTTGGTCCACCGATAAAATAAAAAGATACGAAAGTAAGTAAAAGACTCGAATTTACTCCTTATCTCTTATTTTATTTTATTTTTCCCCTTTATGTACTTATCTTTTTAAATTTCCAATACTCTATTATCTCTTTTTTTTCCTTTTTTCGGGGGTAGAATGCTTTCTTGCTTTTTGTTCTTACTGTAGAAAAATTGGGTGCTTGTAGCTTTTGATTGGGCTATTGGCTAGCTGCAACCCTGATTATTTCAATAAATTTGCCATTTTTTAATGTGAAATGCAGAAAAAAGTGGCTTTCTCTAACATTTTGCTTAGTCCTATGTGACGTTTCCCTCATAAAGGTCTAAAGTAAAATCAATGGTTAAGCAAGATAAATATGCGAGAAAGCGACAATAGTTATGCCTATAAGTCACGAGGTTCTTCATTGTTATTGAGTAATGAACACATAATCAATGATTTTATCGGCAGTTCGGCTTCAACAGTAATTAAAAAAAAAAAAAAAAACAATGGTGCCACTGAAATTTCAACCAATAATTTCGTACAAGGTGGCTTAACTCAACAGTAATATTATCAAAGCTGTTTTGTCTTATAACTCTTTGATAGCAACCTTGATCCGAATATAATTCGAAGATGGGGACCATTCTTCTTTATTCTAAAGCAATTATAGAAAGCAAATGGGACACAATAAATGCATGAACCAACGAAAATACAAAGCAGAAAAGAATATAAAAAATATCACATTCAAACATATAATTGGTTGCTAAGAAGTTTTAATCAGGGACAGAGATGCAAAATACGAAAAGCATCAATTTAGCGATTTCTTCCCATTTTATTAGTGTTATTATTTACGGCCTCGAAGAAAAAAAAAAACAGATAATATAACCTCAAGAATTTGATTCTACCTTATTATACTAAGGTGCAAGGTTCTGCTAAAATGTGACAGGTAAAGATCTTTTACTTATTTTTTCTTACCCATTTACGGCCTTGGGTAGTGGGGATTAAAATAAAGCATTTGATACTGTCAAAATAAAGTGCCAAACCAGACTAAGCTTAATGGTGACAGGTCGTTTGAGGACAATAAATGGAAAGAACAAAGGGGGTTGTAAAAGAGAGCAAATATATGTTTTACCTTTCTCCTAAATTTTCATAAACTTAAACCTTACCAAGAAACAGATTAATATCAGAAAAAGCAAACTCTCTAGAGAAACATAAAATTTTATTCCCAAGACTCGGAGGAAAAAGAAAAAATCAAGGAAAAAACACCTAATCCTGACTGCAAATACTATTATTATAAGCATAGAATTTCCTAATAAAAGTAAGCAACCACGCAATTAGAAAGAAAAAAGTCTAAACTTCAATGACAGACTCCACTGCTGATTCTCTTGTAGTAGTAGTAGTAGTAGTAGTAGTAGCAGTAGTCTCTTCCTCAGCTTCACCAGACATCTCCTCGAGAGATTTTCCTTTGGATTCAGGCACCAAGAATGTTAACAGCATCCCCAAGAAGTTACACCCGCCCAAAACTAAAAGAGAATTTCTCACTCCAATGGCATTTTGAGCATACAAGAAGCCAAAAGCTCCTAGCATTGCCCCAGCTTTGCCAGACGCAGCTGATATGCCATGACATGTTGACCTTAGCCTTGCGGGGAAAATCTCAGCTGGCACAACGAATGTGGTGGCATTTGGACCAAAGTTGGCAAAGAAGAAGGTGAATGAATACAACACAACAAACCCAATTTGGTTGCCATTCAAGGTCCAGTGGTGGTATGGAATGGCTAAGGCAAACATGAACACAGTCATGAAGAAAAATCCCATCAACTGGATTGCAAACCTTCCCATCTTATCAATGAGTGCCACTGTGAACCAGTAACCTGGGACAGTGCTGCAAAGTGCTATGAGGGTCTGAGCTCTAGCAATCATGAAAACCTCTTGAACGGCATTCATGACTTTTGCATCTGGAATCCAGCCAATTGCGCTAAAAATGTCTTTCTGGAACAGATTCTGACTATAATAGGCAATGTCCAACAGGAACCAAGTAGAGCATGTTCCAACCAAGTGAAGCCCATGGCGGCGAAGGAACTTTACACTGAACAAGCCAAAATCATTCCCTCTTTTTGTGTTCACTTCCTGAGTTTTCTCCTCTTCAGCTTGTATCTCAACCTGCAGCACTTTTGACATATCTGCAGCCGCTTGCTTGTTATTCTTGGCAACCAAGGCAGTGTATCTAGCAGTTTCAGGCATTTTCATCCTCCAATAGTATGTGAGCAGAGCTGGAAGTGAACCAACCATCAAGATTATCCTCCAAACATAATCAGCTTCTGGGACCGTGGACAAAACAGGGTTAACTAGGAATGGAGGGGCAGGGAACATGGAAATGAAAGCATATGAAACTAGAATTGCAACCGTGCCACCAGCTAAGATTCCAAAACCTTGCATGGCAAAAACTGCAGCTATAAAGGTTCCACGAGTCTTCTTGTTGGCATACTCAGACATGATAGTGGCTGAAAGAGGGTAGTCACCACCAATGCCAAACCCAAGCCAGAAACGGAAGAAGCAGAGGGTAATCATAACACCTTTAGGGTCTCTCCCAAAAGAGAGACCAGAAGCAATTGAGGATATCACCATGAGCATAAGGGTCATCCCGTAGACACGTTTCCTTCCCAGTTTGTCACCGAGCCAGCCAAAGAAAAGCTGGCCTGTAAGAGTTCCACAGAATGCAACACCATTGATGGCAGAAGCAATACTTGGTGGCAGAGAGCCAGGCTTGTCGGAGCCATCATAGAAATACACGCGGCCAAGCAATTTGGTGACAAGGGAGATGCAGAACAGATCATAGGCATCAGTAAAGAACCCCATCCCAGCAATCACAATTGCTGTGAAATGGTACCATTGTGTCTTTGCAACATCGAGTGCATTAAGCACCTGCAGCTGATCCTTAGCCATGTCTTTCCTTTGTCACAAAAAGTTTCTTCCTTGACTCCAATCTCCTTAACCTGAAATATATATATATATATATATATATATACCCAATAAAAAAAATATAAGATGAAGATAAATACCGATGAAGGCGGTGCTAGACAAGTCAAAAGCATGTGCCTGTGATAAGCATTAAGAGCTAATAAATGGACAATCAACAGTGAAAGTCGTGACAATTCATATCAGAATTTAAGTGGTGAGGTATTAACAATAAGACAAAATAGGGGGCTACAATTTCCACAGCAGTCAATCTGACAGGAAGTCATGACATGAGTCAAAGAAAGTGAAGAAAACATAGCAGGTGAAGCATTGCTGTCAGAGGTGGTTAATGTATAGTACACCTACCTGAATTGAAATCCATGTAATTTTAATATTATTATTATTATTATAAAAATCAAACAGATACGGCTACAAAAAAATAGGCACACCCTCAAAGTTGACTTTTTGAATTTGGATTTAGTGCTGTTATGGGATTTGAAAAGTACATATCTGATGTACTCTAGCTGTATATTTACACGTAGATGTTTGTTAAATGGGATACTACGAATTAAAAGTATTTGTTTAGATGAAAATAATAATAAAAAATTTACCAAAAAGAAAAAAATAATAAAAAAGAATTCTGAGAAAATTAGTTGACTTGGAAGTATCACGATTAATTATTATTACTACTATTATTATAGACGCAAGAAAACAAAAAAGATTCCACCACTATATAATAATAGAATAATAGAAGATCCAAGATCATGGGATAAGAGGAGGAAAAAAATCAGAGCAAAATCCCCAAACTTCTAGTTAAACCGAAATCGTGTGAGCGGAAAAGAAAACCAGAAAATTATTATTAAATTTGACGACAAAGTTTAAAAAAAAGGCAATCAGAACCAAAGAATATGGTCAGCCAAAAGGAAAAGAAAGGCCCGTAAGCTTAAAATAATAATAATAATAATAATAATACCACAGATTAAGTAAAGCTTTTTTTTTTTGTTTAGCACAGAGAACTTTGGAGTTTAGAAGATTAAAAGAGCATGGCAGAACAGAAACAGAACCTGCGAACAATGCTCTATTCCATGTCAACAAGAACCAAAAATAAAAAATAAAAAATCCATCAAAACCATCATCAAGAAACAAGAAAGGAAACGAGTAGAACAATTTAAAAAACCCAGAGAACAATGAATTTAAAAACAAAGGGTCATAATATACGTGGTATATACCTGGGTGGTGGTACCCAGAGAGACCAGTGCAATATGTTGCTGTGTTCTCTCTAGTGAAGAGAAGCAGAACAAGAAACGTCACGCACAGCAAATGAAACGTAGTGTTCCTGTTCCTTATAAGAGAGAGTGAGAGAGAGAGAGAAATGGGATGCTATTGATAACGGTGGAGGATTGGAATGGGGGATTGTTCCCTATTTAAATGCAACAGACTCCATCTTTTAGTGAAACTGTAAAACTAATAAGATTCTTTGTTACCGCCGCATATTCTTTCTATTATTCAAATCAACTCTTTCATATCTGTTTATCTTTTATGGGTAAAATATCAAAATCTTGATTTTCACATAATTACCAACCATTTATGCTGTGCGCTAATTAAATCACAGCAAAATTTACGCTCTTTAATATTTGAATATTCAAAAGCATATTCTTCTTACTTATCTGATCTGAGTTAACCTTTTACTTTTTCTAATGTGATATACCTATCATCTATTTATGCGTAAATTATGGATAGGATAAACATTTTTTCTGAATAGCTAAATGGTTATTACTTTTTTTTTACCTGAAAGTATATTTTTTCCTCTCTTTTTTTGGTATCCAACGTTTTTTATTTTTTATTTTTTTCGGTAAACAAGAATATTTATTTTTAATTGGGTTTTTGCCCTCATCTGTTGGCAATATATATATATATATATATATATATATATATATATAAAAAAACAGAAAATGTATTTATCATTTTAAATGACATAAAGTTATGTCATTTTAAGAGAGAGATAGACACAAAATAATTTTTTTTATTTAAAATTTAAATTAAAAAAAACACCCACTTTCTCTCTCCTATGATTTTCATTTTTTGTGTCATTTAAAATTACATTTAAAATTGAAAATGACATAACTTATGTCATTTAAATTGACAAACACCAAATCCATATCAACAAGTATATTTGAAACTAAGCACCACTAGGGTTAGCCTAGTGGTGTGGGCTGTGTGTTAGGAGTGTAGGGTGTTGTGTTCAATTCCTTGTAACCTCAAAAAAAAAAAAAGTATATTTGAAACTAATTTTAAATTTTGAATCATAAACAGGTTTAAAAATGGAAAAAAGATAAATCACGTTTTAAAAAAATAAAAACCTGTTTGGTTTAAAAACCAAACCATTAAAACTAGTTTGGCTGAATTTTCATTAAAAATCAAATCGAACTGCTCGATGCATATCCCCTAATAAATTGCCCCTCAAAAATTGTGTTCTCAATAATTATTAAGTACTTTTTTACAGTAAATTCTCTTATATGTTATTTAACATATTAAATTATGTGAGGGAATCATAATTATTGATATAAGAGGATCATGCGAAAAAATCATAGTTATTAATAAGTGATGAAAGAGAAAAAAAATTTATTGAAATAGGTAATAATAAATTATCACTATTGATTTGCCTGATAAATAATTATTATCTATTCACATGACATGATAATTTAAATAACACATTGGTTTTCTACCAAAATAAATAAATAAATAACACATTGGGGAATCCATTCCCATTTTTTTTTATTTCAATTGATTTAATCCGTTTCGTATTAGCGACAATACATCCAATATTATTTTTTGAAATAAGCTTATTGTCACTCGAAACATTGGTAAAATATTATATTTTATACTTTATGAGTGACGGTATTCGTCTTTCCCAACTAAATAAAGTGACCAAAAGAAATTTTGCATGATCTAAAATATGACGTAGATAATGACGAGAATAAAAAAGCATGTTTGGTCATTGCCTTGGTATACTTTATATACTCAAGGTATTTTATCCTACACTTTTTAGCTCATGTCCAACGCTTTCAATTGAGTTTTCTATACTTAGACAAAATATGTGAATTTCTTTTTCAGTCTTATCTTCATCTACAAAGCATAATCTAGCATGCGTAAAACATATTACTGGAATTTTGCTCTGGACCATTAAAAGGTAATCGGTTTTTCTGTAGCATCTCAATTGGTATTTGGTAGTGCCCTAGCGTCCGCAGATTTCTTCAAACTTTGTGACCACAAACCATATCATCCAAGGTATGACCAAAGAACCGTGGCGTATAATACTAATCAAGCTTGAGAATTAACACGTGAAGAATCTTCCGCTTTCCTAGTTTATGTGATACATTCCATGAATACACTATAAAGATGTCTGATTTATAATGAGCCCTCTTTACCTATGCATCTATTTTATGTACTTCAAAGTTCAAACTTATCTCTCTAAAACAATTATAATATTTTTGTTATCTTAATAATATAACACCTGTGACATGTATAAACAAAAATATGACAAGAAGGGAGAATAAAAGTGTTCTCCCAATGTGGTGCCCATGCTCTAAAAATGTTTAATTTTTTACCATTTGTAACAAAAACTATGGTCCTCTTACGAGTTTGTTAATACGTCATATTTGAGATGCTTTCCCCCAATGTTGACTCTCAGCGTTCACGTGTGTGGTATGTCACTGATTACCTGTTTAGAACAAGAACTCTAAGTGGAAACCAACCTCGCTATCTACGGCAGCTATAGCAAGCCTGTTAATTTTGAATCTTAAACAAACCACCTTGGCTTTGGCATAATGTGCGTGTCATGTATTAATCATGATGATAAAATGGACCTAAGAATCCTTCTGTGCAAAACGGTAAAGCAAAATCATGGAATAAAGGAATACAACTTTTTGTGTTTCTTCTGAAGTACCTAAAATGTTAGGACTTTTTGCCGAATAATACACGCTTAAAAGTTGAAATGTGGCTGAAATGTGCTAATTTTCTTTTATCAAATCAACAAATGGAGGAAAGGTAGTGATTTGACAATGTAAGTTCTAGGGCAGTTCAGGTTCAAATTCTTTAGCTTATACACTTTAGAAAGTTTAATTAAACACCATTTTGACAATGTGAAAGTGGAAGGTATAGTCGTATAGAAACCATAAGGGCATGACAAGGACGGTTGTGAGATTCTCCACCAAAGAAAGATCGATTTAGGGCATTTTCCATTTCAAAGTTCTATAGTAGATGTTATCCTAAAACACGTAATGAAAATTCATATAATCGTCAAATGAAAGACAATCCAAATTATGAAGTAGTTATTTGCAGGATGCTATGCTTATTTAAGTGGGTATTTGATTTGGAGCTTAATTAACCCCATATAGTGATGTTATTCTACTGCTTACGTCATGCTTGGGACATAGTTCTGGGGAGGGGTATTGTTTGTTTTACCTTCCCAATTTGTATTTTAATATATGTTATATTTAATTCATGGTTTAATATTCTCTCGGTTAAGTTTTGCTCTTTCACTAAAGTTCAATTAGGCCTAGTGCGTAAGAAGAGCCTAAGAAACTTATAGCTCATTTAACTTAGGGTTAGGGTTTCTTGTAACTCATATATATTCTACACTTGTAATCATTAGCCTTTTAAGTCTTCACTTGATGGTTGCGATGTAAGGTCATCTCTGTAATAGTAAGAGAGTGCCCACACACTAGCCATATTCACTACTAAAAAAGTATGAATTAGGAACAAATTTTAGAGATGAAAAATATTTCGTCCCTAATAAGGGCGAATTTAGAGATTGAAAAAACAATCTGTCACTATTTGGGACGGAATTAGCATTGAGACAAATTCTGTCTCTATTAGAGATGAATTTTGAGATGAAAAAAATATTTCGTCTCTATTCGGGACATACTTAGGGACATAAAATTTTCAATTTCTACAACCCGTCCCTAATTCTGTCCCTAATAGAGACGAAATATTATCTGTCCCAACTTGTGATAGAATTACGATATTTTTCTAAAATTCATCTCTAATAAGGATAGAAAACACCAATGCCTAGTTGGGACGAAAATTAATATATCCCTGACTAGGACGAATTTAGGGACAAAATTTTGTATTTAAGTGTTATTGCTAAATTTTCTACCTCGACATTGATTTTAAGAAATTCATTTATTCGGTGTAAGGGTTCGTCCACATACCTCTCTCTCCTTTCATTTTCTAGAGTTTCTTTTTTCTACTTCGTAAAAGGCATTACTAACTATCAAAACTATGTCCATTGTTACCTCATGTCATATAACTTTCTTGAGATTGGTTAAATTTTTAAATATTAAATTAGAATCCTTTCTCTTGAGAGTGATTAAAATTCTTAATTTATTTTTATCTAAAGGTTGACACATGATACCACTAGTCTGGAAGATCTACCACCAGTCAGACTCAAGGAGTTTGTTCGTGTAGAGGAGAGCAATTCGTTAAATAGAATCAAACACGAGGAGATAGGAGGAACAGTGACCATAACGCCAATGTTCCAAAAATTATTTTTTGATATACCAAGTGAACAGTAAAAAATTTCAATATGCCACGTGTATAAGTTTACTATAGCTAGTAGAAAACTTGCTTTGTTGATGTGGCACATTTTTGGTGGTCATCTAGTTTGCTATTACCAGTAACGAATTACGTGATCAAAATATTAGTCTGCTCTAAGTAAAAGCAGGACATGTGACAGTCAATGAAGAGTTCGCTACTGGGCATAGAAAATTAGGTACCACGAAAAAAAAAAAGAGTCATTGGATCACGTGTTTGACGTGGACAAATCCATATAGCGAACTACTGTATAACGAGATAGACAAAGAATATTTTCATAAACTGCCCTCAGACTACGTTGGAGTTGTACCTTGGTACTTGATGTGCGTCTAGCATATGATGTTTTCTAACTTGAAAGAAGCAAGGAATTAATCATAAAGGAGTGAAAATAGTCATTAAATGCAAGAAATATTGATTATTCCTTCTCAATCATGTTTTCACTCGAGTTATATGTTTAAATAGCAGGAAATACCGCAAAAAGGAGCAAAAACGGAGAAACCAAATTTCCCTCTGGCGCACGACGCGCGGAGGTTGGCGCACGGAGCGCCATACTGGCGCACGGGGCGCCAAATCGACGATTTGCTTCTGTTTCGGTCGCGCACGAAGCGCGGGAGGTGGCGCACGACGTTCCAACCTGGCGCCCGGAGCGCTGGAGTTGGCGCACGGAGCGCGGGACTGGCGCACGGCACTCCAGAGTTGGCGCCCGGGGCGCCGTTTACAGATTCAGCTTCTGTTTCTCCCAAGTTTGGGGCGCCAGGCTTGGCG